AAGTCACCGACACGAATTCCAAACATAAAAGTAACGCGACACTATAAATCTATATTTACTATAGGTCAAGTGGATTTCTGCAAATAGTTGCCATTTTTAATTAACTAAAGCGGGCTATCGAATATTTCCGAGCGTGGCATGGATTCAATTGATTATTGATATCGCGTAAATTGAATATGCTTCAGTAACTCGTTCAAATTGCGACAATAATCAATAAAACTCGAGTCGACAGCTCTTCAGTTACTTTGTACAGACAGAGAATAAAAACTTTTAACTAAATCAAGGTATCGTTGTGTGAAAGTGTTATCATATCACCAATGAGGATATTTGTTTTGCGTATTTTTTTCGGTTTATCCACCATCCTACCTCTTTTTTCCTCTCCCTTATTTTATTTATACACATTTTTATTTTTTTTCTATCAAATAGCACTTTTTTTTTCTCTTTCAAATAGCACGATGTCGAGCGGACGAATTCGAGTGCGCCAGCGGTTCATGTGTCAGCAAAAATGCAAGATGTGATGGACGAAACGATTGTCTCGATCATTCTGATGAATATAATTGCAACGGTTTGTTTATATTATTTTTTTTCTTTTTATTATCGATATTTTGTCTATTTTTTATATATTTCATAGCTGTTTACTCGTGAAACATAATTAATAATCACACATATTATATCAATATTATAATTTCCAACTCAACAATAATATATAATAAATGTAACATAACAAATATTATGTATAACAGTGACATTGTTGAGTAGAAAATTATACATTGATGTAATGTTATTGTTAGTTTATGTTCTTTCTCAACGGATTAAAATAGATTTAAGCTACAGATAGTTTTTTAAAATTATATTTTGTAGTTAATTATATTTTTATTGATTATATTTTATTAATTACATTTTTATTATATTTTTAAATTATATTTATTTTTTATTGTATAGTTTATTAGTTATAAATGTAAATAAATCTCGATTAATGAAGAAGAGATTAGTGAATAATTTTATCGCTCAGCTTTCGAATAATTATTATTTCGTAATTAAAAATATTATATGTTTAAATATGATCTTGTATATGATAAATTATTATATTTAATAAACTTTTCATTTCTCTTTATATCATCGTTTTCAGTAACCACCTGTAGTGGGGATCAATTCCGTTGTCTGGATGGCATCTGCTTGAGTATCGACAAGCGTTGCAACGGAATCGCCGATTGCCGTAACGGCGAAGATGAGAGCCAATGCGGTAAGCTAATTTGTTTTCCTTCCCTCTTTGAAACATGTATTTATTCGATCGATTTATTCTTACATCTTGAGAGCAGAATATATCAATGAGATTTTTTCAACACAATACAGATTTCAACGGAGTCTGTCTTATATATCTCCGTTATTTCTGTCTTCGTCGTCTCTAATTGTATCGTCTTTGCTCATTGACAACGTAAATCGTATGTAACGTTGTTGCATGTTCTAATCGTGAGGTCAATAATCACTTTTGCACGCGTAACGATAACTCCCGCAACGGTTCCAGCAATAAGCCGCGATAAGCCTGCACCGATGCTCTTTGCCAAGTGTCGATTACCCGACGCGATTATTCACGAGCGATCGAGAGGGGCGCCTGAGCTTAAACGAGCCTCAAACGCGCCTGCGAAGTTTAACAACAAGATTGCTGGCACTTTGATAAGTCTCGCGAGTAAACCTGGCAGTGATCTCATTCGAACACATGCTTAACGTCATGGAAATAACGTCGCAAAGATTGCGATTTGTATGCGCATATATTATCGTCCGAATTTTAAGTATCATTATTTTTTAAATCAGTCTCGCCGCGGATGAAAAGACATTTGTCTCTTTATTACAATAGTGAACCACGAGTACGCGAGCAGAAAAGCGTTTACGCTTGCACATAATTAGACGCTGACGAGCGGTTACGAAGGTCCGGCGTTGGATACACCATTGCGCGCTGTAACGTGAATAAACGTAAACTTAATTTTCTCCGGCACGCTCCACGTGACTTTCGATTTACGATTTTCCACGCTGACCGAACTTTATGCCCCCAGCGCGCAACGCCGAAAATAACACCTCTTTTCCTGAAATAGTTTAGCCAATGTCGTTGCACCATTACCTCACCTAATCCAGGTTTCGTTGCAACCTAAACCGGAGCGTTCACGACCGGTCGTGTGTGAAGAAGGCGGCGAACTTTCAGGCATTCCCGATGTACTCGGACCGTTTCGTTACGACGTTACCTAAACTCGCTTTAATTAATCGACTTTTAAGCGAACCGCATCCGACATTCCTGCAACCAACACGCGCGGAGAGCGAAGACATCAATCCTCGTTGCCGATCGAAGATAAATTAATCGCGTAAAGATAATCCAATAGTCCACGTCATTCTGTTGCAATTGACTTATCTTCTTGATTGAGAATGCAGATTGCTGTCCTCCGCTCTTGTATATTCCCTGTATACTTCCTTCGTTCATATACTAACCTCAGCAAAAGCAGCACAGCTCGAAGCATCTCACACCAGGTAAAGGTGCGTCCGCTTCTACCGTCCAGATAGTATAACGCTATATGTAAATCGTACTCTCTGTGACCCACGGTGTCACTTGCATCGTGTCACTTGTTCATAAATATGCCGCCGCTAGGCGAAATTATTTAGCATTACGCTCGGTTTATTCTGTTAACGCGCATTTTGGACGGAAGATTCGGAATGTCGAAGGGCTTGCTTGGAGCCGCGATCGCGCGGCTTTGCTGGTGGATCATGAGTGATCCTGGAGGGATGGGAACAACTTGAGGACGGGGGCTGACGAGCGTCAGCGAGGCGATGCAATCGTTAAATGCGCATGAGTGTATGGTGTATGGAGCAGGTTGCGGAGACACCGAGTTTCGCTGCACGGACGGCCGCTGCATCAACTACGTGTTGCAGTGCAACGGGGTGAACGAGTGCTCTGACGGCTCTGATGAGAGGGACTGCGGTAATTATGCCACGCCACACTTACCTACACGCTCTTTCTTCTACACAATACTGAACACACATGTACACGTTACATCACACTTGCGCGCGTGCACGAGACAAGTCATTCAATAAATACATTCATAATGTCGCGAACTGCATTTGGACAATGCACACGGGATGACGTTTGTCTTAATACAGATTTTTTTATTTATTTAAATGTGGAATCGATGGAAATTGAGATTTTGAGAGAATAAAAATCTGTTTCTATATAAGGGTTGATTAGCTTTTTAAAAATAGATTTGTAATAAAAAGTTATCTCCAATTTTACTAGTACTTTTATATCATTGTAATTTACTATGCATCAAGTAATAGAAAGCCTATATTGAAACCGACAGAACCAACTTATCTTTCATCGATTGTGCTGATTTTCAAATACAACTAGAATTTGGAATTATATTTTAAATACTGTTATTAGAATTTATAGAATTAGTTGAGATTGAGGCGCTTCGAGACAAAAAGAATCTGTTTATATATGTGTAAATGTAATACATATATATTTTCAAGGATTGATTAATTTTTTAAAATAGTTAAAGATTTTTTTTATTTTTATAGCAAAAAGTTATTCAATTTTACTAGTATTTTTATATTATTGTAATTTAGTATGCAGTAGGTAATAGAAAGTCTAATACTGCAAGAATACCGACAGAATTCAACCAACTCGTCTTCCAACAATCGTACTAACTTTCAAATACAGCTTCCAAGCATTTCGCGTGATATTTTCGCCATTACGTTCGCTTTTTTCTGCCGTAATCCCTTTTTAATTTTACTTATCGCGAAATCATGCGCCGTCCGTAGAGAGGTATCCGTGGCGAAATACCGGAAAGTTCGTGATTGTACGGAAGTCGACCGCGATTTCCTACGGAGGGAAACTCGCCGAACGCCGAAGGAATATGAATATGCAACCCGTGACGACGGGAAGCGCCGATCAACTCACTATCAAACCAGCCGTGACGATCGGTAATCCGATCCTGGAAGCGTTTCCGGAAGAAACTCAACGACGAAGATTTCCAAACTCCATGCTGCAGAAACCCTCGGCATATTTGATCCAAATTACATCTAAATCGAAAGATAATAACTCGCCCTCGCAATACGTAAAATTTGGTCGATTTCATAATCTTGATGCGAATTGCAGTAATGCCGAAGTTTATCATCCAACTGTTAATCAAACGTTAAAACGATCAAACAACGAGTCTCGAATTTCAAAACCTTTCAAGCTGTCAGATAATCTCGTGAAATCTTTACAACTATTTCAACAAAAAAATATTTCACTGAAAAACTTTAGTTTACAATCTATGAATAATCGCGATAAAACACGAAAAATGATAAGTGGAAGCAATCCTAATTGCGCACCGAAACAGTCCAATACATTCAATGTAGACGCAACAATTATGATTCTTGGATCTAGTAAAAAGGACAGATATGTTACAGAAAAGAATATTTCCAAATCAACAAATTCGAACATCAGAACCATTATCGAAGTCCCTTCGAAAATAAACATGGAATATCAAAATGACGGTAAAATTAAGAGGACACCAACGAAATTGGAAAGTAATACGTCTAATAAAAATAATATTGACAACACTAAAGCGATACATCGCTCTAAAAACATCACTATAGAAGCTGCGAAAAATATTTATGAAGAAATAGACACGGAAAATCCTTTAACGATTAAAAAAAAATCAACTGATACTGTTACTCAACGGATTGATAATTTGATCTGCAAGTTTATTAAAGCTAACCACATGGTATGTCGTCAGAGTGATTCAACTGAAGTTTCAATTAAGCCAATTCATACAACTTCTAAAATAACGACAGTAACAAATGACGCTAATCGGAATTTTAGTGTGACAGATGTACGTGGCAACAGTAAGATTCTTAGAAAAAATCAACGCAGAAAGCACGACTCGGCTTATCAAAAATATTACGATAAATATTTGAGGAACTTAATAACTTCATCTACGATGAAAGTGTCGACAGAATTCACAGTTGATACACGAACTTCAACGACATTAAAAAATACCTTTTTAAAAAATATTAATAAACATGAAGTAACCAAGGCTTGGCAGACTGAAAAGAGAGATATGCTGGAAAATGTAACTGGATTTATTTCTTCTGATGTATTCAATAACACTCACGGTCAATCAAATTTACGAAAAAATTATATTGAAACAAAGAATAACAATTCGAATAATAAAGAAAATTTTTTTGGATACGAGGTAAGAAAAGACAGTAAGGTTTCAAATTATTACAATAAATACTTGAAACATCGTGTCACGACATCTAAAAGAACAGCTCCTGTGACTGTAAGCACGACTAAAATTGAAGAATATAACATGACGAATATGAAATATGTTCGAGAGCAGAAAGCAGCTTCATCTGTTTTAGAAGAAATGTCCGCAACAGCAAAACCAAACAAAAATGATTATTCTTTGATAAAGACAGAAAAGTTACTATATGAACTTAAATCGCCAAAGGCTGAAATACGTCGTCGGTATTTTCCAACAATTAACGTTGACGATGTCGATATGATATCAAATCTTTCAACTTCAAATCATAACGCGACTCAGCAAAATCAAATTAATGAAAAGTATAATAAAACGCACAAACAATCAGATATTTCTTTTGAAAAATGTTGCGACGAAATCTTGATACAAAGTAACGAGAAGATCGATTCCGGATTGATAAATTCAGGTGAGACGCCGGAATCAATACCTGTAGAGAATACAAACACGATATCGAAGGAATTATATGAACCCAGAGAGATTTTGGAAGAAAAATCAGAGAATGATTTTGACGTTGTGCTGTTCAATTTTACGACAATGAGAATTCCTGAGATCGTCACGCGGGATACAAACGAACCCAGAGAGAAAACGTCCACTGAAAGACACGGCAAACGCAAGCACAAAAGTCGTCATAATGGTCGTAAGAACAACAGGCCCAAGAAAAGGAGGAAGAATCATGCGAAACGTAAGAGGAAACCAACATCATCCGTCCCTTGGAAAGTCGACGAGTCGACGAGCGTCGATTATGGCAACGCTTATAGTTCAGAGCGGGTGAAGACGTTGTCGCCTAATGATCTAGAGTACAACACAGCTGATGATAATCTTAATACGAGCACTGATAGAAACGACTGGTATCTCACTGATGAAATTACAACGGAACCTTTTAAAATAGAATTCTCTAACGCTGATGAATCCATCTCAAAACCCACGGGAAACAGCATTGACGACGAATTTCAATCGGAAGAAACGAACGTAGATCTCGTTACTAGTAATACTATATCTTATTTATCAACGGCGTTCAATAAGAAAATTTCTAAAAAATGTAAAGTACTAATTACGACTACCACTGAGAGTAACTGGCTTAACTGGTGGAAAAATGATAATAAAAAGACAGACAGAGAATCAATGGAATGTGAAGAAGATGTTACTTCGCTGCCAACCACAAGTGATTCAATAGAAGAAGAAACAAGCTATTATAGTACGTCTGTCAACGATCATTTTTCGATATACAACACGATATCTACATTAGATAGCACTACTTCAACCTGGGAATATTTCAGCAAAGAAAATAAGAATGTAAGCGATGAAGAAATAAGCACAACATATAGTATGATTAAGGATGAAGAAAATAACGAGAAGAAAGTAATGATAAGTAAATCTATGTCGAATGAAGAAAGTGATAAAAATAATGAAGGAACACAGTCTTGGGAAAGTACTACTCATTCTGGCACTACGCACAACGTGAATTTAGTCCTCAATAGTGAAGAAGAAGAAGACGAATTGGAGAAATCGATATCCGATGAGGATAACGAAATCGACAATGGTATCGTGGAGACCATAGAGGATTACGAGATCGACAATTGCAACGAGACTCAGCACGCTTGCGATAAATATACATGTATCGATGAGGACCAGGTGTGCGACGGTATCGTAAATTGTCTTAACGCCAATGACGAAACCGACTGCGATTATATATACTCTAAGAGATGGGAGCAGCATCAAAGAATTAATAAACGGATTGACTTCACTTCGAACACTGTTGATGACACGTCGCATCTTGATGGATGCAGCCCTTTTGAGCATCCTTGCGACAGCATGTGCATAAACACGTTGCACGTCTGCGACGGCAAGAGAGACTGCCTGGACGGTACGGATGAGGAGAACTGCACCAAAGGTATTCCCCATGTAGAAAATAATATCCTGCGAGAGGCGTCTCATTTCACTCTTTGTTCACGCTGTAAAAAATATCTCGCCTTGGATGGAGCGTCACGTGAATCTCAAGCAAGCGTGACGTCACTTTGGGATGACCTGTCATCTTCGCTGTACAGAACATGGCTTTGAAGATATCAAATTGGCTAATATGTGAACGTCTTTTGGGAAACCGAGATTTTCGCGAAAAACAAACTTCAGGAACATTATTTCCAGCTATTTACATAGATACTTCATTCTATCCCCCTTTTGAGCCGTTCTTATTTGAAGAACGCAGAAGACTCGCTTTTGTGCTTCCAGACCAATGTCATAGTGTTAGAAATCTACGTCGTTTGTTATGTGTTACGCAGCTTTGGGGAAACGTGTTAACAAAAGTATTATGAATAAGTAATAACTTTCCGTTCAGTGTAAGAGTGTACGTTTACATTGTGTTGTCCACCTTTGTAAAAATATTGCCGGAGAGAGAGAGAGAGAGAGAGAGAGAGAGAGAGAGAATAGTCAGACGGTGATCCTTAAAGTGCAGTGACCGAAGACGATTATCTTATCGCTTATTAGACGATTATCTTATCTAGTTCTTATTAGACTCGTCGAAGCTCCTCGCTCAGTCTGAGGAGGATTTACGATGAACGATTGCAGGAATTAGTATCAATGCATCTATCAATGATTGCATTAGTCATTCTACATACTGCAGACATACGATCAGCTACCACTATTTTTATGTTCGCGAGATTAGATCGCCAGTTGAGTCCGCAATGGCAAAACGTGAATCCTCTTTTCTTGGATGTAGGAAGAACATCCCATTTCATCCATTCCATTGACATGATCGTCGTGTCACGCATTATTCATTCACTTTTTTCACAAGGATACAGAATTTGCTTCTCTGTTGCAAAAAGAAGCATTTCAATGACACCCATAAAGAATTCATTTCCGATAATGATAATATGCAATCCACACGACACACGTACCCGAACACTGTACATAGTTTACGAATTAGAGTAAAGGAGAAGGTAAAGGAATATGAAACAACATAAAAACTTTAAACGCCGTGCGCGAAATTTGCTAAAAATATTTAAAATTAATATAATATACAGTTTATCAAACGAATGGTTTTATTTTATATCCAAAATCGGATGGTTTCGTATATTGTAGAATATTCCTACCCTCTCTCATAAGTGAAATAATTCTAACCACCCTCATAAGGCTTCTTCACGGCGCTTTAAATGTTAGACCAAGCTTTAAAATATAATAAGATCTCTTGGTTACAGAATCATGCGTTTTATCAAAGATGCTTTCCATGTACAGATTTACGAGTCCTCTACCACGCCTAAAACTGCTTTAAATGTCTCTTTATATGTCCATAGCTTGTATTTCAACCTCGAACTCGTCTACCTCTCAAGCGCCAATATAAATTATTCTTTAACACACATTTTTTGAAGTACACCCACAGTAATTAATACAGTATAATATACGATATTGTTTTAATTTATTTAAAAAAATTTACTTTTCAATTTTATTTTAACGCGATGTAAAATCATCATAAATTAATGAACTCAAATTACCCCTG